AATGCACCAACTATACTCCTAGTTGGAAAAACAGGTATTCATATCATGTTTTTCATTTCTATTTCTATTTCTATTATAAGGATTTGATGTTAATGTTTTAGGATTTGATTCAATGTCATATGGATATGGATATCCACCATACCGTAATTATAGAAAAGTAAATTGTGATGATGCAGATTCTCTAAAATATGTTAATTCTGAACAATGGGTTGACGACTATTATTCAATACATGATTCTATATTTGTCTGAATCGCATATCGATATCTATATGGAAATAATGTTTGAATTCGGATTAGTTTTTTTTTTTTTGTTCAACGAAAACTTTATGTAAATATCTGATCCCTTTATTCTAAAAGAAGTACGTACGTACAGTACGTACGTATACTATATCTATTACTCAATAAATCTATATCTATTATTCAATAAAGAATATTGTAATAAGATCAACAAATTGGGATCATTCTCGTTTTCTTTTACATAACTTTACATAAACTCTTGTGCATGCGTCTATTTTCCCTCGTCAATCTTTTAATCTCTATTTAATCTTTATCTACTATTATTTATATCGTATTACTAACGCTAAGATAATTTATTGGGTTCATTAATGGTTACACATGGAATTCCCATGAGTAACAAAAAAAGATAATTCGTCGTAAGATAACCTGGGAAATTTTTTTTTTTGGTTAAGATGTCATTTTTTTGTTATTGGGAATTTTTTTTGTGTTTGTTTGTAGTGAAAACACTACGTATTGGCTTTTTGTTGTTTTTTGAAAATAATATCTAATGCTGCAATGACGATAATATTAATACGTAAGTATGTATTAATGTGTGCCCTTCAAACAATATTAATTAACCAATAATATTAAAAAAAAATAATAACAATAATAATATCGATATCATTTCAACGAATTTTTTTGAATTCAACTTCTAATTATCGAAATAGAAAAATATGCAGTAGGTCAGTTCGTACAAACATTTCCGTAAAAATTAAGTTTTGTTAAACGTCCTGAGGTAATTTATTGTTATTGTGTAAATGGGATAAGTAAGTGGAATAAACGGGCACAGTAATTGATCTTACCGGGAAATACAAATTTGGTATGGACAAATAATAAACCCTTCGTATTATATATATATATGCTAGATACATTCTAACAATATTATATTAATTGGTATCGAACATCAAAATGCTTAACAAAACATA